CCTGAATAATTGAAAGAAAATCTAAGCTATATAAATAATTTTCGTAAATAATAGACTTCTTGAAGATAAGTAGCTGATTGAGTTTTCTCTCTTTTTCTCTAGAAAGAAACCCAGGTTCTCCAAAAGCAACTGGCAGAGTTACAAAAACAGGTGTGTAGTTTATAATTGGAACTACGTCTCTTAGAACTGCTTTTCTTATCTTCCATTGTTGGAGAGCTGCGCCTCCATAGTAACTGCATTTTTAAAGATTCACAATAATCTTTGTAAGCAATGATCTTAAAGGACAGTTTAAAGTAGAAAATCCCAATCAGAACAGTTTGGGACATTTTATCTTCAAAATTATTTTGTACTTCTCTAAGGAATTCTGATTTTTTTTTAAAAAAAATTCAAAATATTTTTATCCATGACATTTGAATGATTTACTGTTTTTGCTGTTAAATGCACAATGCATTGCTATGAAAAAATGTTACTTGTGCACCATCAAGTCAGTGCTGATTATTAGTGATCACATAACATTTTCTCAGAATTTCTTAGTAATATTAAATATGTTAAATAATAAATCTAACAGTTTTATTTTACATAAGATACTGTTCCTTGTGCTGAAAATTAGAAATTAAGTTCTTCAAAGGGAAATAAGTCATTAGTCCTTGATGTCATTTGTTCTTGTTTTAGGTTTTTGTTCTACAATCACAGCTATCACTAGAACGGAAGCAGAAGCAGAATTATATCATCAGCTGTACCAAAACAAATCAAGAGCTTTCAGATTTACATCAAGAGCTTGTAAACTCTTTAGCTGTTGTGGCTAGGAAACCTGAGGCAACTGTTCTGGAATCCGAGACTCGCAGGCTTGATGAAACCTTGAATAACAGTTTGACATGGAGAACTGTAGTCTCAGACAGTGTCTTATCTGAAAAACATATGGCAAGCTCAACACCAAAAAGTGTTCATCAGAAGCCCACAAGGTAGCACAGGAGTGGCAAAAGCAAGAAATTACAGAGGCTCCAGCACAAGCAGGGTTTAAAAAGTTGTTGGATGATGGATACTTCTTCATATTCATGATGGATACTTCATCGTCTCTAGTTTTGATCCTTCAGAAATATAATTCCAGATTCTTTGGAATCAGTGAAGATCTCAGTACAGCCTGAGAAAAAGCAAAAATAGTTGAAAGGCTGCATACTAAGTGGCTGAAGATATGCAGTGTGAAAATGTTTGGACATGACAAAATTCAAAGCCATTGTATTAGAACTAAACAAAGAAACCATTTCTGATAGGAAGAATGGACGTTCATTCCAGGAAAAGAGTCCTGAAAAAACTGAAGTCATTAAAAAGATTTCCCGCTTTTTTTGTATAGACCCATGGGACAGTACTTGATCAGAGAGAGAAATCTCGGATCTAAAGTCATTTTGATTTAATAATCTTACTGATAGAGATATCATTTCCTAAATTATTGTACAGCAATTTGGTATAAGATATATCTAGAGGGTTTTTATAACATTTTGTACTAAACAGTTCTTTTATAATAAAAATGCATTTTATTTTTTCTTTCTCCGCTCAAATATTTCATATGACGCTTTTCTGCTTTTTGAGATTGTGGTATATATATATATATATAAATAAATAGATAATATGCATGCATAGCCATTATCTACAAGAACCTCTGGAGGTTTATGTCGACAAGGACTATATAAGACACGTACCATTGTAATTAAAATAGAAGATAAAAATTAAGTACCAAAGTAATACATTTAGTTCTTCAGTTCTCAAGTATCCCCTGGAACTACAGTAATCCACTGCAGTAAACCAACTTCTAGAAGGCCAATCCTGTATTGAAAGTACTAAGTTAGATGTTACAACTAAGAAGAAATGTCTGTAAAACTGACTCCTTCACCTCATGAAACTCAAGAGATTACAAAAAAAAAGTTGTTGGAGTGATGAGACAGATGGGTTGCTACTACATAGAGTTGTTCCTGAAAGTATAGTAGCTACACCAATTCATAATGGAGTTTATGCGTTAAAACCAGGAAATGAAAACAGGCTGATGACCTAACAGAAAGAAGGAATTATCACTAGCATTTTGGAGAGAAAGAAAAAAAACTACTGAAGCCAAGATGCATTTAGGCAGTTTCAGTAAATTAAAAATTTACTGATTCCAGAGTGAATTAAGTCCACTGAAGAGTTCCAGGGTAAAGGAAAGATTACTGAAAATAGGAGAGGTCCAGATTTCAAGGGTTTGTTCCTACTTGACCAGAGGAGCAAAAGCCTGCAAAGTTGCCAGCTAAGCTTTTGGTTAACTCTAAACAGGAGAGGATTTAGGGATCGTTACAAAGCTGCAAGCATAAATAGATGCTGCCTTGTTAAAAGAAAGATTACATGGCAGGCAATGAAATAGTTAATTTAGGGAATGCTCAAAAGTTTATTTCAACTACATACCAGTATGGGCTTGTGCTCTACCTCAAATCCTGCTATGCTGACTTATTGTGGTAGGAGTTGGGGTAGGGTTCCTGGAAAGGATGAATGAAGAAGCAATAATATACATCATATATTTATACTCCCAGCAAAGTCAGCCAAGGTATGAAACTCATCCCAGCTATCCAGTTAAAGGAAGAAGATCCATATATCAGGCAGAAGCTATACAGAAGATGCTGGAGGCAGATATCCACTTTAGTGACAATGGTAAAAGCAACCATCCATAATGTGGAAGAAATCAACAGTACACCAAAAACTGACAAGTGGTTGACAATGTAGTACTGGATGATGGGCCCTTTAGATTGGATGGCACTCGGCATACTGCTGAGGAAAATCAAGATTCTTTTGGATTACTAATGGTATTTATGACATGGCTAGATAAAAGCCTTCAGAACTTCTAGTTACTAATGCTGCCAGGCAAGAAAAGAAAATCCTAAATTGTTAAGGGAATTGCAGTAGGAACATGGAATGTAATAAGCATAAACATGGAAAAGCTCAACAATGAAATATGAGATTTATCAGCTACATATTGACATCTTAGGCATCAGTGAATTGAACAATGACATTGTTTTCATAGGAAGGATATAGCAGGCAGTTCTTGGGTACAGTCCATGGTTCTCTTTCAGCTAAATAAGTATCTCCTGCTACTTTGAATAACAAGGAGTAAACATAGGATAATAGAAATCATAGAAGTTCCTTTCCCCCTTTTTACTATTTGATCATTACTACTGTGAAATTAAAATATCATAGATTAGTGGCTAGCAAAGTCCCATTTTTTTAAAAAAAATAAAATGTTGAAAAGTTTTAATTGCATAATTAAATTTGTAAATCACAATTTTGCTGTTTGATCTGCATTGGGAGAATAGAACAGACCTTACGGACATTTACAGAAACATGAACTGTGGTCAAAATGTGTATTTTCCAGTTTCAGATTTAATTCCCAGTGAGATATAAAATGTCACTGAAACTTAATAGTTAGGGCCTAGCTCTGGAATGTTTAATATATTTTATACTTCAAATTGCTCATCCCCCAAATGGACTAATTCAGAAGACTAAAAGCAGAAATGTTCCATATTCTTTACACAACTAGGCAAATGCCTTGCAGAAGTTCATTTTAAATATTTCTCAGATTTTTTTTTTTAAAAAGCACTTTAAAAAATCCTGGATTTTGTACAAAAGTTTTCTATTGGGTATTACAGATATTTCATAATACCCTATAATAGTATTTCCCTAACAATAATTCTATTTTTCCATACCCACATTATGTATTAATAATTTTCTGAGATTCTAGAAACGCAGCCCTCGGTTGGTTATTTCTTCATTATATTTATAATCTACACCACCACTTCTTGCAACTAGTGCCCAATAGTTGCTTATTATCTGTTCTCAATAATCCTTTGCTTCTTTACAATTAGAGAACTTCAGCTAGCTATACAGTACACATCTTAGTAACTGAACTAGGTATTTCAGGGTCTAGAATGAAAAACCACTATAAATGTCCCTGGGGGCTGTTTGAGAGTTGCAAATAGAAGATCCTCAGACAAAAAAAACCTGTATGGTATGTCATATATAAATTGGCGGTATCATTAGAAAGAAGGTGATTTATAACCATCCTGAAGGTTAATTCGAACTCCCCCGTCTAAACCTCTGACCACTAGAAACAAAATGATGTAACGTTCCCAGACTTAGACCCAGGTTAGACAAAAGATTCCCTGTTGTGCAACCCAAGACATCAATTCACTGAAGCTCCTCAAAATTGCTCCGTTTTGGCGACGAGAAGGAAACGCCCACCGAAATCAGGATTTTAGTTCTGCGAGAAAGCCAATACCTGTCGCCACCCCCTTGATAGCTAACAGAGGGCGGGGCGAGGGCCGGAAGTTCGTCGTGTCTTCTGGTTCGTGGGTGGGGGAGTGTCCATCATGGAGTCGCTTTGGAGGCTAAAGCGGTTCGATGCCTTCCCCAAGACGCTGGAAGATTTTCGGGTTAAGACCTGTGGCGGCGCTTTCGGTGAGGGACCGCCGGCTGCCCGAGGACTACAGGACTCAGAGGGCTGCTGTCGGGAGGAAGACAAGAGGGGTTGCTCTTGCAGAGATCCCTGCTAGTTTAAAGCGGTCCTAAGTTGAGGCATAGTGTTGCACATGCAGACAGATCAGCGTAATGTTTCATGTGTGAACTGAAAAGAGTTTGGCTCATTTGTTATCTTTTGGTCTTGTGGATTGTGAAGTTGGATCTTTCGCAGCTTGGTGATCGGTAGCGATCATATTGAAAAGTATCGAGGCTGAACTTAATGTGATTTTTCTTCTGTGTTACGTTATCATACCTGACGTTTTCTCAATGCCAGCATTAATTCAGAAGGCAGTATATGTTGTTATATGTGCATTGAATGTGTATGAGGAAATCGTTTAAAGAAAATGCAGCCTTGATTGTTTCCATTTTTTTAGCAAATTAATCTTTAAGAATGTACAGAATAGCCAGGATTATGAAGTGATTGCTTGGTGCAGCTTTGGTACCACTTGCTGGTAAGGAACCTAAATCCTTAGCAATCCAATGACTCTCTTGGGGTGAAAAAAAATCAATAAACCTATGAATCAGTAAATCTATTCATTGTACTTTCTCCAGTTTAGAACCATATGGTAGATTAGATTTTTTTAAAACTTAGATCTTTTAGCCTTTGCCAGATGTCTTGTCACTTAATACTGAGTAAAATTTTCCAAGAAAATATGTCTTCTGTTGAGGACTGGAAAAGAAGTCAAATTATCTTATAGTGGCTTTCTTTATCATTGCTTATTTTAAAGTACAGTAATCCATATTCTTTTAAAATAATTTAGAGTTGAGACAAAGAATCAGAACTGATCTTGCAGAGATATTGAATGGATGCTTTTTGATGATTCCATTGATTGTTTAAAATTTAAATGTTCTGAAATATAGCATCTCAAAACTATATTAAATATTTAAAAATATATATGAATCAATACATAATCTCTTTTAGGAGTATTTTTTTGGCTATATAGTACTTTTGTATAATTTGTTTTTCACTTGTGTTTGTCCAAGCTTTTTATTTATTTGTTACATACAGTAGGTATGTGTTTCTGAATGTTTTACTGCTCAGGATTCAGCACCACTCTTTTAAATATGTGCTTATAGATAGGTAACAATAGTAGAAATTTTAATTAAAGCAGTTTCCTGGAAACTGAAAAAAAAATATATGCATAGCTTTTTAAGTATCCCTTTGAAAATGCAGGTTGATTGCTGCTGCTGACAATGTTCAGCCCTGTCCTTTGGGACCTCTTTGAGGATAAGAACACATTCACCAGTCTGTAAGATCAAAAGTAAACAAGAGAAAGGAAGACTTTAAGAAAGCTTGCATCCTTCTTGGAAGAAAATATCAGTCTTCCATGGAGAATGAACATTTGCATGCAAAAATTATAATAATCTCTTATAAATAATAATATAAAAGATATGTTATTCTATTGTATAGCTTTTAAAAATTATGGTGAAAATAATGGTTGATTGTTAGTATATGAATATTTAACAATTTATTATTGAAGAGAAATGAATATTACCTATTTTATTTTTTCACTTTTTTAAAGATCTTGAAAACTAAGAAAGGACTTTTCCTCCTGATTTTTTTATTTTATTGATGTAGTAAAAACATTGCACCATTGCATCTGAATAACACAAACATGTTTGTTTTACCAATCCCGCATTAAGAAGTTTCATCAGGCAGTTACTTTTCCACATGCAGCTGGAGTGCAAAATATATTTTTCACATGTTTTTGCATGCATTTTTTCTATGAATTTAATATTTAGATATAAAAAGCTTCATATAAGGAATTGTTTTTCATGAATATAGCAAAAGTCAATCAATTTATATAATATTGCAGTCCCAGACTAGTTTGTGTAATTATTTCTTGGGCTGCTTCATCATTCCAAAATTTGATATTGATTCAAACTTTTTTTAGAAAGTTTTCAGAGGTGTGTATGGGGGGGATAGTCTACTAATTTGTTGTACCTAAATCAACTGCTAAATTGTCCTAAGCCTGTGCTTATTCTAGCTACATTTTTATGGACTAGAAAGATACCTTTATATTTTAGATTAAAAAGTGGTATTGAATCCCTTTCTCTCAACAAGTACATAGAGGCTGATTGGTTTCCTGGGAAATCTTCAAATTTTCATGTCTTTTTACAGTGCTGAGCATTTTAACTGAAGGCACTGGGTGAATTGCAAAGGGCTTAGCCAATTCCTCCAGATTCCCTGCATGATTCCTTGAGCAAGCCAAACATGCTTGTAGTGTTATTTTCTTAAAAGGTATGCATTTTCATTTCCTGTCAGGGAAATCCTATTGAGGCCCCCCCCTTGTTAGACTCTGAGGTATCCCATACATTTATAGTACATGAAACATGCAAAAATTGTTAGGGAGATGATGATGATGATTTGTAAGCCTTGTAAGTAACTCAGAATCACTGTGAGTGAACTAGGCAGCCATTTAAATTTAAACAAATAAATAAATAAATAAATTAAACTTGTATGCTGCTCAACTCTCAACAATTTTGGGTGGCTCAAAACAAAAAAGTTATAATAAAATCAATAACATATAAATGGCTTTTATTCAGTGATAGATTTTTTTCCCCCCTGCAGAGTACTACATTTCTGGTATTTCTGTAGAATGGGAAAAGATCTACCGTAAATGCCGGCGTATAAGGCGACTTCCGCGAGCGCTGAAATCTTATACGCCGAGTCGTCTTATACGCCGGAAATACTGGTAGTTTCCGGTGTATAAGACGTTCTAGGAATGCGGCTCGGCTATAAAGACGGGGGTTGTCTTATACGCCGGGTCGCCTTGTACACCGGCATTTACGGTATTTGAAATTATAGAAAAACTGTCAGTATAGATAGATCATTAATCTGTCCAGCTAAATACTTTACAGCTTCTATACTTAAATGTTAATACAATGATAAATGTATATGTTTTAAGATATGACAACATGTAACTTTCCTTTCTTCGTACGCAGTGACTGTAATCAGTGGACTCATCATGTTCTTCCTGTTCTTCTCAGAGCTCCAATACTATCTTACAAAGGAGGTAAAGAGTCTTCTTGTCCTGGGATATCCATTTCTGAATATAAACCTTCAATTTTCTCACATATTCTTTAGAAGCAGCTACTGTATTAGATATTACCAAATGGTTTCAAAGTTCCCTACTTGTCCTATGAAATCTATAGCAGCTATGTCTTTCAGGCTAATTTATCCTACAAGATGCCTAGAAAGATAAAAGGTAGATCAAATACACCATTCTGCAAGTGGAATTAAAAATGTAAATTTTGTTATTATAGGCCGTTTTGAAGACTTACGTAAGCAGAAAGTATACATTTAATAATATATTTAAAAACATAGTTTTATGTTTCTGAGGAAATTGCTCTAATTGTATTTTGCATTTTTATTAACATTAATGTAGTTTGAAGTCATTAACTGCTATTCTTCTCCCATTGCATGTTTTTGCTTGCCTCTTTTGCACACATCTAATAAAAGGAAATGTTACTTCAGGTTCCTCTCTTCTACCTTAATATGACTATTGTGCCTCTGGAGCAGTGGTTCTCAACCTTTTTAATGCTGCGACCCCCAACCGGTCGTAAGTCGAGGACTACTCAACCGGTCGTAAGTCGAGGACTACTCAACTGGTGCAGCACCGTTTGCAGAATGGGACTTTTGGCAGGCTCAGCAGGGCAGAGACAGCCTGGACAATTCCTATTGGCTTTTGAAAGCCAATAGAATTAGACTCTATTCAAGAGAGTCTATTCTATTGGCTTTCAAAAGCCAATAGAATAAAAGGGAGTAGCACAGCTAAGGAAAAGGGGAAAAAAATGGCGGACTGCGTTGTTTGGCGACCCCCGTGAAATGGTTGTTCGACCCCAAATGGGGTCCCGATCCACAGGTTGAGAACCACTGCTCTGGAGGATTTTCCTTTTCTTTATAACAGGTGTCTTGAAAGAAGCAATACAAATTGTATGTCTCCTAGTCACTATATTGTAGTATGTGTAAGCTGAATTCCTTACATTATTGTCCTCCAGATGTATTGGGCTACACTCTGAGGAGTCCAGAATATGGGAAATATTTCTTTGGTTTAGATTTCCAAAACCCACAGCTAGTCCTCTTTAATTCTTTTAATATAGGATGCTTGAAAGCAAGCTTGTTTTCAAACCACTGAAGCAAATTAAAAAAAAAAAACCTACACCTCCTGATGAGTTTTTGAATGAAATGTATTTACTCATTTATACTCATTTTTAATATAATAGAAAATGTCAGAAATCTCTTTTGGATCTTATCTTCATCAAGTTCTCATGGAGTCTAGCTTAAAATTACCCTAGCAAATAAGGTGGGAGACCATAAAGGTGGGACTGCTGGGATTGTCATCACTAAGCAAAGCAGTCATGTGATACCATGCTAAGCAATGACAATCTTGGTCTCAATTGCCAAGCATAACCCAAAGCCTACTTGTATTCTTTTTCAAAATTATTATTTTCAAGGAAAAAATAATGCTGAAAGAAACAGGCATTCAAAAGAAGATAGAAGGAAGAGAAAAAAAGAAAAAACAACCAGTATAAGCAATAAAATTTGGGTGATAACCAACAGATTTAAAATATCATATGGCTAATATGTTCTAATAAATAATGCATTTATGTAGAAAATATGTGAGCCAGTTACTTCTCGAACACTTTGCAAGGTATAGCAAAAACTGTTTTAAAAACAAAAATAAAATATAACGTTAAAACTCCTCAAAAAATCAACCATATTTTGAGTCTGCGTCTAAACTGAAATAAACCAGGAGCTTGCTTTAACTCTGGTGGTAATTTGTTCACTAATATTGGCCCTGTCATGGAGAAATCTGAATTGGTGCTTGATGTGAAACATATCCCATTGTGTCCCATTGATTTAAGAGGGCGATAAAAATTTATGGGAATAAATGATCCTATAAGTAGCTTGGGTCTAAGCTATAAATGATTTTATGCTTGTTTATTTTTTTTTATCTTTAGATTCACCCAGAATTATATGTTGATAAATCAAGGGGAGATAAGCTACGGATAAATATAGACATTGCTTTTCCACATATGCCATGTGCTTGTGAGTAAAGGGTGTTGAATTTTGCTTTTTAGTTAAATGAAATGATGGAAAAATGGACACTCCTTGTCTTCACTTAGTATTTTATAATATTTTAGTTAATATTAGGAACAAGTAAAACAAGTTTTACTCTGCAAAGTAAAATAAGATTTTACCTAAAATTAAAAGTAAAATCTTAAAAGTAAGATTTTACTTAAAAGCCAGTGCAGTCCAAGGCTGCATTAACGGAGAGATAAAACCAAGATCACATAAAGTGTTAGTACTATTTTATAATGCCTTGTTATTATATTATATTAAGACTCTATAAAAGTGCAGAGAAAAGCAACATAGATGATTTGGCTAAAACATATGGAGGGTAAAACATATGAAGAATGTTTGCAGTAATTGGATATGTCTAGTTTAACGAAAAGAAGGACTAGGATTGACATGATAGCAGGGTTCCAATATCTAAGGGCCTGCAAAAAAGAAGGGGTCTATCTATTTTCCAAAGCACCCAAAGGCAGCAGAACAATGGATGGAATGAAATGGATGGAAACTAATCAAGAAGAGCATCAACCTAGAAATAAGAAGAAACTTCCTGACAATTAGAACAATTAATCAGTAAAATAACTTGCCCCCAGAAATTGTGGCTGCTCCAACACTGGAAGTTTTTAAGAAGAGATTGGATGGCCATTTGTCTGAAATGATATAGGTTTTCCTGCCTGAGCAGGGGGTTGGACTAGAAGACCTCCAAGGTCCCATCCAATTTTGTGATTCTGTTAAGATGGATGCTGATTACAAGGGAATAATATTGAAGTGGTAAAAGGAAGTGCTACTCTTAAGGGTTAAGACATAAATAATAGTCAGATATATGTAAATGTTCTTTAACCTGCGCCATGCATCCTTTCTTGATTTTCATCAATTCTCATATATTAGTATTGATTCAGGATTCTTTCCTTAGATCTTAGCTAGTGTGATTATGGATCTACATTGATTTTTGATTACCCAGTCTTCTAATTGCTATAGTTTTCAAAAAAAATTCAGTGTTCTCGTTAATGGCCTGATGGATATGTTGTATATTATAACTGTCCCCAAGAAATTGGTTTGGAACTGTCTTTGTTTGTTACTTACAGATTTGAGCATTGATGCAATGGATGTGGCTGGAGAGCAACAATTAGATGTTGAGCATAATCTCTTCAAACAGCGCTTGGATAAAGATGGCAAGCATGTGACTCCAGAAGCAGAAAGACATGGTAGAATAGATATACTGTTCCAGTGTGGGAGCAGTATTGCAGATGAGATGGTAACACTGGGTTTAGTTTTATGACATCTGATTTTAAGGGTATAAAAGTGACTGGCTGGCATAAGTTTCTATTGTGGCCAGATATTCGGTACAACTAATAGACATGGACCAGTATTAGTGATGTTTGAGCATGCTCTGCACTGATATGCTTAGTCATACATTACTTTTACAGGTTTTATGTCTTTATTTCAGAGTTAGGAAAAGAAGAGGAACTATTCTTTAATCCAAATTCATTAGATCCTGAACGCTGTGAAAGCTGTTACGGAGCAGAATCCGAGGATATCAAGTAGGTTTTACTTTTCTTACTATGACTTGGAAGCAAGAAAATGGTTTCGGGAGGGAGCTGCATAGCTATATCATTTTCTGAACTTACTAAAAAGGATTAAGCTTGTGGTTGTTTGTAGTTTAGCTGATATTCTTCCATGTTTTCTTGCCTAGAACATCATATGGGTTTACTGGGCTTTTCATTGTTAATAGAGGGTAGGAAATGTTTCTCAAGTAATAGCAGACCGATTGAATCTGAAATAGTGGAAATTTCAGCCACTTAATTTGGGTTTGGATTGAACCATTCATTTCACTCCAGGGTAAACTCTTATAAGGTCCCAAGGCAGATAGGATTACAAACTGTGCAATAATAGTTTTGCCTGAAGCAAAGCTGTTGGGTGGAAGTTTTTTATTGCATTATTTTCTTAGGATGGTTACATCCAGGTATTTGAAGTATATATACATTGTTACCCCTTTATGGATTACTGCCTTGTCGTGGCAAAGGGGCTTGCGTAACTCAATGAAGCTATAAGCTATGCCGTGCAGGGCCACCCAAGACGGACAGGTTATAGCAGAGAGTTCTGACAAAATGTGATCCACTGGAGAAGGAAATGGCAAACCACTCCAGTATCTTTGCCATGAAAACCCCATGGACAGTACTAAAAGGCAAAAAGATGGAAGATGAGCTCCTCATGTCGGAAGGTATCCAATATGCTACTGGGGAAGAACAGAGGGCTAGTACTAGTAGCGCCAGAAAGAATGAAGCGACTGGGCCAAAGCCAAAAGGACGCTCAGCTGTGGATATATCTGGTGGTGAAAGGAAAGTCCGATGCTGTAAAGATTTTTTCTCCATAGGAACCTGGAATGTAAGATCCATGAATCAAGGCAAGCTAGACGTAGTCAAAAAAGAGATGACAAGACTGAACATCGACATCTTAGGAATCAGCGAACTAAAATGGACAGGAATGGGTGAATTTAACTCAGATGACCATCAGGTATACTACTGTGGGCAAGAATCCCTCAGAAGAAATGGAGTAGCCTTCATAGTCAATAAAAGAATAGGAAAAGCAATACTGGGATACAATCCCCAAAATGACAGAATGATCTCAATTCGAATCCAAGGCAAACCATTCAATATCACAGTAGTCCAAATCTATGCCCCAACCACTGGTGCTGAAGAGGATGAAATTGACCGGTTCTATGAAGCCCTACAGCACCTTATAGAATTAACACCAAAAAATGATGTCCTTATCATCATGGGGGATTGGAATGCTAAGGTAGGAAGCCAAAAGATAACCGGAATAACAGGCAAGTTTGGCCTTGGAGTACAAAATGAAGCAGGGCACAGGCTAATAGAATTTTGTCAAGAGAATACGATGGTCATAACAAACACTCTTTTCCAACAATCCAAGAGATGGCTCTACACATGGACATCACCAGACGGTCAACATAGAAATCAGATTGACTACGTACTCTGCAGCCAAAGATGGAGAAGCTCTATACAGTCAGTAAAAACAAGACCAGGAGCTGACTGTGGCTCAGATCATGAGCTTCTCATTGCAAAATTTAGGCTTAAATTGAAAAAAAGTAGGGAAAAGCACTAGGCCACTCAGGTATGAACTAAATCATATTCCTGATGAATATACAGTAGAGGTGACAAATAGATTTAAGGAACTGGATCTGATAGACAGAGTGCCTGAAGAACTATGGATGGAAGTTCGCAACATTGTACAAGAGGTAGCAACTAAAACCATCCCAAAGAAAAAGAAATGCAAGAAAGCAAAATGGCTGTCTGAGGAAGCTTTGCAAATAGCTGAGGAAAGAAGGGAAGCGAAAGGCAAAGGAGAAAGAGAAAGATACACCCAATTGAATGCAGAATTCCAGAGAGTAGCTAGAAGAGATAAGAATGCCTTCTTAAATGAACAGTGCAAAGAAATAGAAGAAAACAACAGAATAGGGAGGACCAGAGATCTCTTCAAGAAAATTGGAGATATGAAGGGAACGTTTCATGCAAAGATGGGCATGATAAAGGACCAAAATGGCAGAGACCTAACAGAGGCAGAAGAGATTAAGAAGAGATGGCAAAACTACACAGAAGAACTATACAAGAATGAGCTTAACATCCCAGATAACCACAATGAGATGGTCACTGACCTCGAACCAGACATCCTAGAATGTGAAGTGAAATGGGCCTTAGAAAATCTGAGCAACAACAAAGCTAGTGGAGGTGACAGTATTCCAGCTGAGCTATTCAAAATCTTAAAAGACGATGCAGTAAAAGTGCTACACTCAATTTGCCAGCAAATTTGGAAAACTCAACAGTGGCCACAGGATTGGAAAAGGTCAGTTTACATTCCAATTCCAAAGAAAGGCAATGCCAAAGAATGTTCAAACTATCGCACCATTGCACTCATTTCACATGCTAGTAAAGTTATGCTTAAAATCCTACAAGCTAGACTCCAGCAGTATGTGGATCAAGAACTACCAGAAGTACAGGCAGGATTTCGAAGAGGCAGAGGAACTAGAGATCAAATTGCCAACATACGCTGGATCATGGAGAAAGCTAGGGAGTTCCAGAAAAACATCTACTTCTGCTTCATTGACTATGCAAAAGCCTTTGATTGTGTGGATCACAACAAATTGTGGCAAGTTCTTAAAGAGATGGGAGTACCAGACCATCTCATTTGTCTCTTGAGAAACCTATATGCGGGTCAAGAAGCAACAGTGAGAACTGGACACGGAACCACTGATTGGTTCAAAATTGGAAAAGGAGTCCGGCAAGGCTGTATACTGTCGCCCTGCCTATTTAACTTATATGCAGAGCACATCATGAGAAAGGCAGGGCTAGATGAATCAAAAGTTGGAATTAAGATTGCCGGGAGAAATATCAACAACCTAAGATATGCAGATGATACCACTCTAATGGCAGAAAGTGAAGAGGAACTAAAGAGCCTCTTGATGCGGGTGAAGAAGGAGAGTGCAAAAGTTGGCTTGAAACTCAACATTAAGAAAACCAAAATCATGGCATCCGGCCCTCTCAATTCCTGGCAAATAGATGGGGAAGAAATGGAGGTAGTGACAGATTTTATTTTTCTGGGCTCCAAGATCACCTCAGATGGGGACTGCAGCCAAGAAATTAAAAGACGCTTGCTCCTGGGGAGGAAAGCTATGGCAAATCTAGACAGCATACTAAAAAGCAGAGACATCACCCTGCCAACAAAAGTGCGTATAGTCCAGGCCATGGTTTTCCCAGTTGCAATGTATGGCTGTGAAAGTTGGACCATAAGAAAGGCTGAGCGCCAAAGAATTGAGGCCTTTGAACTATGGTGCTGGAGAAGACTCCTGCGAGTCCCTTGGACTGCAAGGCGTTCAAACCTAGAAGAGATCAACCCCGACTGCTCTTTAGAAGGCCAGATCCTGAAGTTGAAACTCAAGTACTTTGGCCACCTAATGAGAAGGAAGGACAATAGAAGAAGGGGACGACAGAGAATGAGATGGCTGGATGGAGTCACTGAAGCAGTAGGTGTGAACTTAAATGGACTCCAGAAGATGGTAGAGGACAGGAAGACCTGGAGGAACGTTGTCCATGGGGTCGCGATGGGTCGGACACGACTTCGCAATTAACAACAACAACAACAAATACATTGTTAATTGCAACAGTTATTTATTATGCTTGTGTTGTCTCTAAAATATGGTCTGATATGCCCTGTTCCTATAAGTTAGCAGATGTGAAGTCTGCTGCATTCCTGGGAGCATAAAATAATTCTGTTTAATTCCTCATCTCGAGAAGAAAAAGAATCTATCCTTTCTGTAGGAGTGCTTGCCATAGGATTCTAAGCTATATTGCTCCTAAGAAAGTGATGGCGAACCTTTTAGAGACCGAGTGGCCAAAGACCGCCCCTGCCCCACCATAACTCTGCCACCACTCTGGCCCTATCCCCCCTCCCCCTTCCCCTTCCCTCTGCCCCACCCCATCCCACCCCCACCCCGCCCACCCGCAGAGCTACCCACTGCCTCCACAGCCCGCTGCAGATTACCCAGGCATCCCAACAGCACCATGGTGGCCACAGCATCAACTGTGCACGACGGGGTGTGAGGGCGGAGTCTTGTCCCCATTGCCCAGCTGCCATGTCCTTGGATACGCTGCTCTGCGTGGGCTGTACTCAGGGCGACTCTCTTCTGGGGAGGCTGCTGGTGAGGAGGGGGCCGTGGGGGGAGGCGGGGCTGGGGCAATGGCACAGAGAGGGCTTTGAGTGCCACCTCTGGCACGCGTGCCATAGGTTCACCACCACTGTCCTAAAACAATCAGCATAGTATGTTAGCCATTTGAAATGCTTTCTACTGAGCCAGGAATAATCAAGAAATTCCAAACTATCCCAAGCTCTTTGTCATGAGACTCTTCCTATAATATTTAATTGGAGTCTCAGGCCATCAACCAAAAGGCTCTGCACCATAAGCTGTTTCATTTGCTTCTATAACCCGGTTTAGAAAACAGTTGTGTATTGATGTCAGATTTTCTGTCTCCGATCATTACCCAAATACAGGTAGTCCTCGACTTACAATAATTCATTTATTGACCATTCAAAGTTACATCACTGAAAAAAATGACTTATAACTGTTTTCACACTTATGACCGTTGCAGCATCCCCATCGTCACATGATCAAAATCCAGATGCTTGACAACTGGTTCATATTTATGACCGTTACAGTGTCCCGGGTCATGTGATCCCCTTTTGAGACAGGGAAAGTCAATCGGAAGTCAGATTCACTTAACAACCATGTTACTAACTTAACAACTGCATTGATTCACTTAACAACTGTGCTAAGAAAGGTCATAAAATGGGGTAAGGCTCACTTAACAAATGTCTTGCTTAACCACAAAAATTTTGGGCTCAATTGTGGTTGTAAGCTGAAGACTACCTGTACTACTGTGATGGCTGTCTTAACTTTCCCTGTCTCTCCCAGTTTTCATACGCTTTGGAAATGCCGTGACAGACATCTAGCACACTATCTAATATTACTTCCAATTCATTAACTTTTTGAAAAAAAATCCCTGATAATCATAATTTTCAGGCTTTGTAATGCTGCTGTATGATGGTCTTTTTCTAATTAATGTGTTTATGCATTTAATTTTTTTGGCAGATGCTGCAATAATTGTGATGATGTGAGAGAAGCATACAGGCGGCGAGGGTGGGCCTTCAAGAATCCAGATACTATAGAACAGTGCAAGAGAGAAGGATTTAGCGAGAAAATGCAGGAGCAGAAAAATGAGGGATGCAAAGTATATGGATTTTTAGAGGTCAATAAAGTGAGTATGGCAATTTTTATCATCATTCTGCATTGGCATTTCACCCAGTATAAACGTTTGATCATGCTAAGTAGAAATTCAGAATAGATAGTCCTCAACTATAATAGTTCATTTTGTTGTTGTTAGTTGCGAAGTCGTGTCCGACCCATCGCGACCCCATGCACAACATTCCTCCAGGCCTTCCTGTCCTCTACCATCTTCTGGAGTCCATTTAAGCTCATGCCTACTGCTTTAGTTGACTCCATCCAGCCACCTCATTCTCTGTCGTCCCCTTCTTCTATTGCCCTCAATCTTTCCCAGCATTAGGCTCTTCTCCAGTGAGTCCTTCCTTCTCATTAGGTGGCCAAAGTACTTGAGTTTCAACTTCACGATCTGGCCTTCTAAAGAGCAGTCAGGGTTGATCTCCTCTAGGACTGACTGGTTTGATCGCCTTGCAGTCCAGGAGACTCGCAGTTTATTTAGTGACCATTCAAAGTTACAACAGCATTTAAAAAAGTGATTTATGACCATTTTTCACATTTACAACCGTTGCAGCATCCCCATGGTCATGTGATCAAAATTGCTTAGCAACTGGTCATATTTATGACAGTTGCTGTGTCCCAGGGTATGTGTTCAGTTTTTGCCACCTTCTGACAAGCAGTCAAGCCAGATTCACTTAACAATCAAGTGACTTTGACAGAACCTCACACATCTTTAGCCATTCAGCCTCTGACTATCAAATAATTGTTTACTATTCAGTGAATGGATTGTTTCTGAGTATGTGCTTGTAACTCCTTTAGTAAGAATAGTATTGAGTTTAAACATAGGCATATGTTTGAGGCAGTGCCTCTTTTCAGTGTGCAGTTCAGTAAATAATTTGCATTTAAAATAAGGATGAAGTACTCATTCTTACATAAGGGCTCTATATTTTGACTGATATATCAAAAGGCCCAGAATATTCTTTGTCAAGTTGAATTTAGCTGTTGTTTACAAATAAAAACAAAATGGATTTCTATATGGCTTTATTTAAAATGTTAGAAGCATCTGTTCAGATTCCATTTCAGGCAAAGGTATGTGTGCTCCTTTTAAATACCCAAATAAGAGGGATTTTCTTAATTTAAAAAGACACGCTTTTCAAAGCTGATGCTGCTTGGTATAGAAAACTAGATCATTGAATGAGATCTGGATTTCTCTTACAGGTAGCTGGGAATTTTCACTTTGCACCAGGAAAAAGCTTTCAACAGTCTCATGTTCATGGTAAAGTAACATATGCATTGAATATCTTATAAACTTTCCCCGCCTCCTCCCTTAAATTTTAGGATACATTGATTGATTGATGATGTTTATATATTATCAGTCCAATTACTGCACTGTAGTTGTGATGAACTCTAGCAGTATAACTAATACACGGAGTGTAGAAGAACTAGCAAGAGGAAACATTTCAAAAGTACTGTTTTCATGAGAATAAGAAAGTTGTAGTATGCAAGGATGTGTGTGTGTGTGTGTGTGTATCTGCACGCATACACATGCACACACATGCATGCACACACTTACAAATAATTGCTTATCATTATTCCCTTCTGCATAGGAAATGCTATAAGTACAATTTTAAAGGCATTCAGATGATATGATCATCTGTTTCCTTTTGCAGGATTGATTTAATAAAATATGTTTTCAGCATATAAAAATAACATGTCAACATACAGTACACAACATATTCAGTACACTTTAGATTATATAAATGTTGGATATTTAAGACTAAAAAATTCATATGTAATTTAAAGCAACAAACCTTAGGTTTGTGATTTTAAAGATCTTCATATGCTCAGCAATTTTATTGCAGCTGCGGCATGCATTGTACTATGAATATAGTGTGTTATTTCCTTTTCATATGTGGCACTTGAGATGTTCTACATGAATCTGCAGATCTTATTGGTTGGATTGCGAGCTAAAACTGAATAAATAAGCTAATCTTCTTCAAGAGAAAGAAGGGCTTTGGCTTCTGCACAAAGCTTGCAAATTTACTTGATATCTATGAAAAAAACCTATGTATAATAATTTCTTGAAAATTGAGTCAAATTCTGTGTTGGCTACTATCCATTATAGTTTTTCATTCCTGTGTGGAAAGTCTCTGGCAGTACTTTATTCATTTTTCTGATGTTTGACATGGTTAATTTCAATTGTCTGCAAAAGATACAAAATCTCTATTAAAAGTATTTGGTTCTTTATTTGTCTTCTAAGAATTTATTCTCTAAAAAGAATTAAGTCAAAATACACTGAGTAGGATACCACCTCTGTAAATCTATTATTTATTATCTGTTACATGCAGTCCTAACTGAATTAGGTAATGTTCAAACATTTGGAAATATGCATGCATGCTGATGAAATTAAAGTCTTGTTGATTTATTTTATTTGCTAATTCTGTACTGTCTATAATGAAGGGGACTAATTTCTCCTGTTAAAGCTTGATAATACTTAAGGATTTGACCAAACTGAGGATGATATTTTGGTTCAGGGATCTGGGAATGGGCATTATATGGCTATGATGTTCCATTAAAATATTGAGATTGTTTTGATGACAATTCTATTCTTAAAAAACAAATTCCCTGAACATTTTAGAGGATGTACTGCTACTTATCCTTTCTAATCCATTGAATCACACAATTTTTCTTATAGAAGCTGTATATATGTAAAGTAGTAAGGTCCCGTTCAAACTTTCTGTAGAATATATATAAAGACCAGACTTAACACCATTGCAAAGTTAGGAGATATGGTTTTGAAGAAGATAGGATTTATAGTAAACAATGATTTAAGGTAAACTTTGTAGAAGTATCAATGTTATCATTTGTCAACTCCTCACAATGAATTATTTTCCAAGAGAAATAAATTGGAATTGTTATAAAGCTTATATATCAGAAGTAATTGAAGCCTATCACTCATAGAACTGGCAGTTTGTCCCATAAATTTATCTCTCAATATCAAATCAAATCTTTACAAATGAAACAAGTATTTTAATTTTTATGTTGGTATGATTGGTTTGGTAGGGTTTGGCTGTTATGCTTTATAGAGTTGAGTTTTTATAGTGCATTTAAAATTGAAATTGGGCTGGTTTGTTTGTGCATGTTTTAGTACCTTGCTGGCTAAATTTACACTCTGACGTTAAACGTCAGCATCTAAACTTAGATGCAGGTTCTGTTAGCTTGTTTATTGAAATACAATAGTGCTTTTCTTCCTTTTTTTCTTTTGAAGTTGCAGCCTAATAAAGTTGTTTATTTAAAAGGAAGTGGTCTGGTGGTTAAATAGTCCAATAGTGATAATGACGATGGTGTTAATTTGTACTCTTGGTGGTGGTAGTTATTGTACAGCAACAATCTGCTGCTTGTTATATTTTTCTTTTGTTCTTTCTTTCTTGCGTGTCCCATCTCTCCTAAGAAGCAAGGACCTGGTGATGATTACTACACCCTTTCAGACCACTAGCATTGGGAAGATATGTACTTGGCTGACCGCAGAAAACTACATTAGAGCATTTTCTTCTTTCTTTTTGCTATGGGAAAGAGAAAAGTTTTTTGTCATGAGCCGACAACAGGGATCTTAGTACAAGTAATGCCCATCAATTGCATTATTTGAGTTTTTTATGCTTCGAACTCTCAGAACATTTTAAGCTTTAAAATGATTGGCAGTTCAGTGCTGAATGATGATTCATCCCCAAGTTAGATGCATGCTATTGAAGAAGAGCTGAGTTATTTTTGCCATTTGGCGTTCATGATACAATTAAAGTAAAGCCCTTGGGATAGCTAGTTGCTGTTGCTGCTATGCAGGAAAAGAACATCTGAAGCAACAAAGAGAAAATTAGTGGAAAAGGGGAAGGTAAAAAGCACGGCCATAGGAAAACTCAATATAGTGGAAGTTGAAATGAACCGATTACTCTGACATCTCAAAGATTAGTGAATTGAATGGATTGAAATTGGACACTTTCAGTCAGATGCTTTTATTAATTAATTAAATGCTGTCCATTTTGTGTTCAGATGAGGAATAATGTAGCAAAGATCATCCTTGGGTACAATGCAATCAGTATCTAAATAATATCAATTAGATTATGCAGCGAGCCCTTTAATATGATAGGCAAGTTTATGCTGCAGCCATTGATGCAGAAGGCGGGGTTGATCAGTTTCATAGTCAAATTCAATCTGAAATTGAATGCAAGCAAATGTGTTGTACTTAGAGACAGGAATGCCAATGTTGGAAATAGTAGCTAGCCAACTATTTTCAGGAACAGAAGTGAAGCAGGAGAACCATTTTTCAGTTTTTGCCACCTCAGTGATTTCTTCATTACATCATATTGATACAAAGAAGTGGAAGAATTCAATTTTAGCAGCAAAGGTGTGGCTGGAAGCTTTGCAACAGATCATGAACTGCTCGCGTGCAAGTTCTAAGTCAGAACTTGCACACAAGCTAAACCAGAAGAATAAAGTCAAACAGGTTCCAAAATTTTGAGCATATACCCACTGTTTTCAAGGAGAACACCAGGAATCACTTTGAAGTCCTGAATCTCATTGACAGGGAACCAGAACTCTGAAATAAAATCAAGGAAGCTTTCCACCTCAAACTGATATGCTAAAGAAGATGAAAGATGGAAGGAATGTACTGAAATTCTGAACAGTAAATATATCAATATCCTAGATACCTAATTTACAACAACTTGATAGCACAATTTTTTTTAAAAAAGCCAACTTAAAATGTTCCAGTGGAGCATTCTGAATGGGGTTGTTTTGCCCAGTCATGAAATAGAATGTTTCTTCTTTTAGGTGCATTCTATTTTATAGATCATTGAAACCAGTTTCACACACATTTTAAAAATACAAAGTACCTTATACTTTGCACAGAGCTGTGTACTGTTTTCAACTAAGTATGGATAGAAATTCCTGCTATAAATGATAGGGTTCTATCATGTCCTCTGCATATATACACCGTATTTATGTTTGCTACTACATAATATGAGAAATAATAATTTTGAAAATAAAACATTATTTAAGATTTTCCAAACGTAGCTTTAGTTAGATATTACTTTTGCATTTCATCTTTCTGCTTAGTTGGATCTGACACATTCTTTTATATTGCCTTGATCAAATCCTTAAGAGTTTATGTTACAGTAATGTTTCATGAGTTTAGTTGCTAAATGGAATGTTTAAACAATTTATATTTAAATATTTCTTTAAGACCCTTGATATTAAAGAGGAATGTTTATGTGTTTGGTAGATCCTGCTTAAATAAAGTGTCTGCTTTCTGAAATCAGTAATTTACAGAGTAATTATAACCAAGCTGGGATATTTCATGGATATTTTTTTTCTTTTTAATTTATCCTGACTGAGTTTAGGCATCAATAAAAAGAAAGAGTAACAGTAAAAAGATTGTGAAATTGCTGAGGAGAAGACAGTTTAGGGTCATAATGGAAGATTTAAAAAAAATTATGTGTGTTTACTACTGAGGAGTTATTTATTTATTTTATTTATTTAAACTATTTAAGTTATTTATTTAAACTATTTCATCTTAAAAGTGTATCATGATCTTTAGTTAGAAATGCTAATTCTAAAAAAATCAACTTTTAGTTTTTTTGTTTTTTTAAAAATGCATAATTGTCTCGTACAAAAAGGCTTACTCCAGTAACTTTATGTGTTGTCTGTCTTTTGCAGTTCATGATCTTCAGAGTTATGGACTTGACAATGTAAGTTCCCTAAGAGAACTTGTATCTGAGCTTTCTCCTTACATTGAAAGGGATAGGAGATCTACCAGTTGTGCACATGTAGATAATTTGTCATATATTAGTGTGGCATCTGTAGAGAATAACGTATAACTGTAGGAGTAATACAATTGTTCTTTTTGAAAATTGTTGTAGAGTTCATTATACAATGCATTCATTATAAATCATGCTTTAAAAAATCCCTCTCCCCTTTTGCTACAATTGTTGTCCTCTTTGATAGAGGACGTAGATCACTGAGCACAAACAACCTATCCCTTTCTTATGGCTGCTGTTCCCAGGAGGGAGTACAGATGTATAATTGCCTGGGGACAGCTGCCCTCGGGCAATGTACACGCAGGAACACAGAAGGAAACAATATGAGCAGTTCTGACCTGGCATAAACTGGCACAGGTGCTAAACACTTGTTGTTCCATTCCACAAAGAGGGAAGCCTGTGAAATACACCTGTGTGCCTAGGCACTAGCTGGGAACTGATGAATAACAAGAGTCATATTTCATCCATCATATAAAATGGTGCCTGCATTGTGAATGGCCTCCAGCCTGTTTCATCTGTGCTATTTCTTCAACTCCTTGATATTTTGGGACTTTGTTTGCTTGTTTCAGATAAACATAACACATTTTATCAGGCATCTTTCATTTGGGAAGGATTATCCAGGCCTTGTGAACCCACTTGATGGAACAATTGTCACAGCTCATCAAGGTATTGGTTTGAAGCAGCCTTTCAATCTAAACTGGTAAATGAAGGTGACAACCAGCACAACATTTGTTTACTCTTTGTTGGGTGCTTAATTAAAATACATATGCCTTGGCTAAACTAATCATTTTAATTATAAATTGGAGTTTGGTAACTTTTCAGCAGAACCATAAAAATGCAACTTTCTCTTCCTTTTTTACTTCAGAATAAGGAATATATGTCTAATGGAACCATATCCTCTCTTTTTTCTCCATGTTTTCATTAGCAGTGTGGATAGAGTTAGGTTTTAATAGATATTCCCTAATTGCACAGTCTTTACAGTATCACCTTTTAATTTCTTCTAACCTTTTTAATTTGTGTGAAGTGGAGAGCAACAAAAAGGCTTTCCAAAGAGAGGAGTTGTTAATCTTATTGAGTGATTACTTTAAGGAAGGACTCCTAGCCTCAACCTCTCACTTTACTCTCTTCATATGTCATCTTAGTTTTATTAATTGCAGATCCAAGTTATAATAATAAAAATAACTTAATGATTGAGAGCCCACTGAAATTCATAAAACTTCACCCCTAAAATGGCTGGTGCTTATCTATTTCAAATTCTTGCTGAATCCTAAGTCATTGTTTTAAGATTCTTGAAGTTTTAACATTTCTTGAGTTTTTCTCTACAAACCCAGCTTTTAACTTTTGGGTAGTTATGTGCAATTACAAGCCACTTCCTATTCTGAAAAACACCATGAGATCTGTGCATTTTGTGGGAAAAACAATGTTCTGCAGAACAAAGAATGTTCCAGCAATTAACCACACTGTTTTGCACATCCCAAGTTTTTAGATGTCCACAGTAGGTGGCAGCACCTACAAATCTTGGTTTATCTGAGAAAAGCTAAGCAAGGTCATACCTGATCAATACTTGGGTAGGAGACTATAGATAATCCCAGGATTATTAAATGAGAAGTCTTAAAACATCCAGGAAGAAGGTGGCTACATAGATACTCACTCATAATAATTAGGATTTATGTTAGTACTTAATTCTGCAGAAAAATTTGCATTTTTCCCTAAGACAGAAATGCAGTAAATTGTGTGGTAGTCTTTTTTGATATTGAGTAGAGTTTCACAAGCAGTCCAAAGAGAATGGGAAGATAAGATCCTAGTGGATTTCATGCCCAACTCTATTAATGCCTACCAAATTACTGGTTGAGTTCTCCTCAGTCAATTTTGGTTACTTATATTTGGCATGAGCTATTCTGTGCATGAGGGAGCTGGTGCTCCAGTCCATAGAAAAATGTTTCAATTGCTTGAGTCCTTGTATGGAACAATGAAGGTGTTTTGTTCCAGATACAGTGGCCCAGAATGCATTTTCCAGTTAGAAATTAATTGAGGAGGAAAAAGGCGAAAAGTCATTCTTGGTTTTCTTTGCCAATAATGTATGTGGACATCCCTGGCAGTGAGGGATTTCTTTGCAGTGGCATGTGCAAACACTGATGGCAATGTGTCGTGGCTGGGGAAGGAAAGGTGTTGGGTGATGGGGTGGCTAACAATATATATGCGATGAAAAATGGGGTGATGCAAATTAGCTTTTTGTGCCCTGTAAAATCACTCTGGGGCTTCTTCCAATTTTATTTCAGCTTGAAGTTGGAACAACCAAAGTGATTTTTTTTCCCTGCTGAGCTATATTTAATTCAAAACAATCCAGCAGAGCCATTCGACATCATACAGTATTTGTACTGGGTTCAAAACACAATTCTGTTTCACCCATACCCATTATGATTTTATTTTGGCTTTTAGCTTCGATGATGTTCCAGTATTTTGTAAAAGTAGTCCCCACTGTGTACATGAAAGTTGATGGTGAGGTAAGAGCTGAATATTGTCTTTTCTTTAAATAGTTTTAAGTAGTTTCTTTAAATTTGGTTAAATTCAACATTAAAACAGTCTTTTATTCAGATTTTGTTACAGGTAGTCCTCGTCTTCTAGCAATTTATTCAGTGACCATTCAAAGTTACAATGGCATGGGAAAAAGTGACTTATGAACATTTTTCACACTTACGACCATTGTAGTATCTGTGTAGTCATGTGATCAAAATTAAGACGCTTGGCAACTGGTTTTTATTTATGATGGTTGCAGTGTCCCAGTGTCATGTGAACAGCTTTTGTGAATTTCTGACAAGCAAAGTCAATGGGGAAGCCATATTCTCTTAACAACCCTGTTACTTACTTAATAACTGAGGTGATTCACTTAACAACTGTGGCAAGAAAGGTTGTAAAATGGGGTAAAACTCACTTAACAAATGTCTCATTTAGCAACAAAAATTGTGGTTGTAAGTCGAGGACTACCTGTATTGTTTTCTCTTCCTTTTATATATCCCACAAATCTGCTGTGAGAAATGCAGGTGGAAAGGTTACAGGATGAAGGAGAATTCAAATTTTCAGCAGGGTCCTTTTTGCGGGGAAGTAATCTGCTATATTTAATTGGGAGTGAAGAGATAGCACTCATAAATACCAGATAGAAAATTTCAAGCAATTCTACTAAACAATTCTATTTTGTTATTAAGCCATGAATAGTGGGCCTAGGATCTTCCAAAATATGAATCACAGATATTTTTGAAAGGAGATAGTTGGATTGCAGGTCACTGTTACTATGGTTGCAGTCTTCTGGCATATCTAAAAGAGAAATGAGTGACATGTACTTAACAATGCTTCTACCTGAAGAATACACAAAGTCATACACAATTAGCTGCATTTTTCTTTTCTTCAGTTTGGATGATGCCTGACACTAATCAGTTATTTCAACATTTTTGTAGATGGTAAGGACAAATCAATTTTCAGTAACAAGGCATGAAAAAATAGCTAATGGACTAATTGGAGATCAAGGCCTACCTGGTGTGTTTGTGCTATATGAGCTTTCTCCCATGATGGTGAAATTAACGGAGAAGCACAGGTGAGAGATTCTCAATATGAGTGTAAAGCAAAAAACCACCTAATTTCCCTCCAGATGAAATTTCATTTAATGTGTCTGTAGAAGCCATGTTTTATGTGAAATGTGTTATACATAGAGATTGATAATAAGTGTGGTTTCTGGAAGATATTCTGAAATCAACAGATCCAAGCTGAAAGTATCTGACTTTTGTCTGAGTATAAATGTAATTATAAATGTAATTAATGAAATGGCTTTAATAAAACAATTCTCTCTCTTGATTTCAATTTTTGCCTTCAGAATGTAAATTCATATTAATGTTTTTCCAAATCCAGGTCCTTTACACATTTTCTCACAGGCGTCTGTGCCATTATTGGAGGAGTGTTTACAGGTAACTGGATTTTTGTGTTCAGAAATTTAAATAGTTTTCTGTTCATTTTGAATCTGGAAATTAGTTTGTAAATGTTTTGATCAATATATCATACTTTCAGGGCATTTTCAAATCAGTTCTATCATTTACAAGTTCGCAGAGTTGCCATTATCATTGGAAATAAAATGAGAAATAGGGAAAATTTGACAGTTGCGATTATTAATGAGTAATATTTGTGGCTTCTACTTACTATACAGCTTTTGAAAATGTATAACTTCTGATTGATTCAACAAGATTAAATTGACATGGTTACGAATGTATTATACCATAAGAGTAGAATTCGGAAAGAATGCCAGGGGGCTTCTTTTTATTTTGTGGCAATATTGCAGTTGTGTGTTTTTTTTCTTTCCTTCCTATATGGGCTAATTAAACTGACCCTCCTTTTCCTCCTTTCAGTTGCAGGACTCATTGATTCTTTGATCTATCATTCGGCTCGAGCCATTCAGAAGAAAATTGAACTTGGAAAAACTACATAGATTAGATTCTACAATCCTTCCTAAAAGACTTGAAGAAATGAAAAATTACCCTAACATCAATGTCCAATACGAATGTGCCAAGTGAAGATAATTGGAACTTTGAGAAGAGACTGACATTCTAGTTCTGGGACAAGTAAAACAGGGATTAAATTTAAACATCAATGTCTGTGGCTGTTAAAACATTTCTGTTTTAATATGCACCGTAATCTGTTGGCATATATTTCAGTTTCTATATTCCAAAAAAAAGCGTCATCCAGAATATAGACTATAAGAACTTGTATATGTCTAAAACTAGTTATTTCTAATTTAATTTGTATTTAGTGATACTGTAAAATGTGTGGTTGGAATAAATTCTCAGGAAAAAGTTTTACTAAAGTGATGTGATAATTTACTTTTTTAAAGCTTGCTTATGTAGTATCAAGAGTTGTTATATCCAAAAATATTGCTTATGGCAGTCATTTTTCCCTCTTCATTGGTATGTAATATTTTAATTCTAACCACACTCTGCAATAGGTCACATGATCTTCATCTTTGGCTATTCATTTTCTAAAGTTGATTAGAATATTTTGCGATGCCATGTGAAAATACTGGTTCTTGTCTCATAACTCTTCCCCAATGCCTTATATATGTATTAGCAGTATCTCATTCTTCATCTCACTGTCCAGCTGACAGAAGTATCCTGTTCATTAATCATTGTGATGATTGAGCAGGTAAGGCGATTATTTATGGTTGTGATAATGATGACCTATTGAATTTATGCCTACTCTAGGCCAAATGTTTTGGAACCTAGTGTAGAAATAGTTTCCTCACTGCTTTCTACTCCATCTTGGGAGTATATATCAACTGCACCACTATGGCACTTTACTCTTCATGACATTAACTTAAATGTCTACAACTGAATTTTTGCTGTTTTACTGATCACATCATTTATATGTTATCCTTTTTGAGAGCAGCAGTGGCTAAAGTGAAGCACTGAGTGACATTAGGGGTGGATAATCTATCAGTGGCTAGGAACCGCACTGACATTTTGTGAAGTGATAAGAGTTATAATGGGTTGAAGAATAATACAAATGGGGCAGGTCAGGATTTTCCAGGTTTTGGGAATTAGGTTAAATATTGTGGTGGAGAGGGAGGTTCTCTGCTTAAAACCCATCAGAGCAGTTGGAGAGAAGAGCAGGGGTCAGTTAAGTAGGGTTGGGTGCCAATCTGACCCTTTATTTATTTACTCATTCTCTAATTGGAGCAGCATAAAAGTATTTAGATAATAGTGTGTTTTTACCCAGTGAAATAGATTTATCCTGCATTTCAGTTTTACTTTACAGAGAAAAAGGCTATCATGCGATATTTCTAATCATAGAAATGGCCATGCCAACAAAAATTCATCTATCATAGAAAACTATGAACTAAATCATTGGCTACTTGGCTTACCATTGTTTTAAAAAAAGTTTTAAATAAAAAAAATAAAAGAAATAATGTGAATTTTCTCATCATTGCTAATATTCCTTATTTGTTTTGATATTGGGTCTAGAATTGATGAAGCTTAATGTAGAGTAGCCAATTAGTGTATTGGACATTCCTAAATCATGACTGTTGTAATATATATCTAGAATCACTCCAAACAATAAGATGGGTAGTATATAAGTTTAATAAACATACCTCCAGCAATCATTTTCAAATAATATTAAAATAATAATTTTCAAATAATATTAAAATAATATTAAAAATTTGGATAATTTACTGAGAACTTGATTTATAATCTGTGATGGAGGGAAGGAGAAACACAAAATGAATTATCAGAAAGCCTATTTTTCAAATTCAAAGGTATATTTCACATTCAAATACCTGTTATGAAAATAATCAGAAATATGTTTCTTTGGTGCTACTTTTGGTGCTCCAATTTCTTCTGCTGTCAAAAACACAGCTAGCAAATCTGAATGGTTCTGTCTGTAGTTTCATACTCAGAGAAAGAAGCAAAATCTGAAGCTAGTAACAAATAGTGTTTATAGTCTCTGTTGTTCTAAAATGCATAAATTCAGAAAAGCAGAACCATGTTACTCATGTTTTTAATATTTAGTGCATTAAACAAACCGAAATGTCTCCTCTTTTTGTGTTTTATTCTAGTTTTGCTTTTCTTTGAAACCAGAACAGAGATAATTTAAACCATCTTAAATTGTAAACTATTTATAGAATGCCAATTTGCCTTCAATTGCCAGCCTTTCAATGAGTTGTAGCTCAAAAGGGCCATCGTGTACTCCAGACTTGCGAAAGGCTCCTGCATAACGGTTGTCTTCCCAGTAGTGATGCCAATTCCCATTGCTGTCTGCACCAAAGCCAAAGACAGAAACCTACCATATATAGGAGCAAGTGAAAAAACAGTAAATCTCTGCAAAAAACCTAAACGTTACACATCTACTGAAGAGATCAGACACCTAATCCCTGTTATATGTTTTGAATTACATTTCTTGCAGTGTTATTGTCATTGCCACGCTGGACGGAATAGATGTGCTTTGAAATAGAAAACATCAAAAATGCTGTATTAGGTTGCCTGTCTCACTATAGTCTATTGCAGGGGTGTCAAACTATGGCATCATATGGAGGCCGTGTCGGCCCTAGCTCCAGCAATGTGAAAAAAGTCATGACACGTCATGAAATACAGCAAGTTTGACACCCGTGGTCTATTACATTACATAAATGCCAAAGTTGCATAATTTATATCCCTCCTCAAATGTCAATTTTACTCTTTGTTTTCAAAAGTTATATATGGGTTTTGCAAAGTGGAAAGTGAAACAGCAAGTAGTTAAAGTATAACTCGTGCTGAATAGTAGGTTGAATTTATTTTTTGTCATCGTTTTTCATTTTGGTGATTAAAGTATAAAGTGTCCTATCAATTGGCCACATACAACCTGCCATTTAGTAGCTTCCCAACAAGATTTATATTACTAAATAAATAAAGAGAAATTGTTTTAGGAACAGAGCTAAAAGTGGTTAGTGAAGCAATAGGAATTTGAGAGCCGTTTAGCTCAGAACCCCTTTACAGCAGCCAGCCCTAAACTCTCTGGCTCTGCAACCAGTGGTGAAAGTGGCGGGGAGGGGGAAGGGAATGGTTCTGCACAAGCAGGAGGAATGCTTGCAAAGCTCCCTTGGAACTTCGTGCACTCACCTGGTGGCCCGCTGCTTGCATGGTCCAGTTCCCAATGAGCTGTGGTCCAATACTGGGCAGCAACCCAGGGGTTGGGGGCACCTGATTTACAGAGTTAAGAGGGGTGGTTCTTTCTATAGCACTTACCTGTGTGCAAGTATGGATGGCAAAAATCAGTGTAACCAACCCAGTGGAAGGATATTTTCCATGATGCCTTGTCCATTTGTCTTGGATATATTTCAGGAAAACAGGGTGAATTATTAGAATCTAAGAAGATAATTTTGTAAAACAAGAGTCACCCAGATTGATCATAGATCCCTCCTCAAATTGATCCATTTATTTATAAGAATAACTCCAGAGCAAGAAAGGTCTTTTTTCATTTTCCCTAGGCCTTAAAGTAGAATGGATGATCCCCTCTCCCTGGACACATTGGCCCCTGACAGTATGTGCAGTTATTCCATGGTTTCAGGGCCAAGGTACCAAAATACCACACCTGTAGCCTGGAATGAGAACAGTTCATATTCCTAAGAGATTCCTAGTTGGACCCTTCCTAGTACAAATTTGCTTTGACTGTTAATGTGTACGGTGGCCTCCATAACTTTTTTTCTTCTGCCTCCCATATTTTATTATTTAGCAAGGAATATTATCAGCTTGAAATATTATGCATTTAATGTATAATAATAAAGTTGGAAGGGACCTTGGAGGTCATCGAGTCCAACCCCCTGCTCAGGCAGGAACCCTACACCATTTCAGACAAATGGCTGTCCAGTCTCTTCTTAAAAACTTCCAGTGTTGGAGCATTCACCGTTTCTGGAGGCAGGTTGTTCTACTGGTTAATTGTTCTAACTGTCAGGAAGTTTCTCCTTAGTTCTAAGTTGCTTCTCTCCTTGATCAGTTTCCATCCATTGCTTCTCATCCTGCCTTCAGGCGCCTTGGAGAATAGCTTGACTCCTTCTTTGTGGCAGCCCCTGAGATATTGGAACACTGCTATCATGTCCCTCCTTGTCCTTCTCTTCGTTAAACTAGACATACCCAATTCCAGCAACTGTTCCTTATATGTTTTAGCCTCCAGTCCCCTCATCATCTTTGTTGCTCTTCTCTGTACTCTTTCTAGAGTCTCAGCATCTTTTTTCTATTGTGGTGACCAAAACTGAATGCAGTATTCCAAGTGTGGCCTTACCAAGGCATTGTAAAGTGGTATTAATACTTCACGTGATCTTGATTCTATCCCTCTGTTAATGCAGCCCAGCACTGTGTTGGCTTTTTTGGCAGCTGCAGCACACTGCTGGCTCATATTTAAGTGATTGTCTACTAGGACTCCGAGATCCCTCTCACAGTTACTACTATTGAAAAAGGTACCCCCCTATACTATACCTGTACATTTCGTTTTTCTTGCCTGAATGTAGAACCTTACTTTTTTCACCATTGAATTTCATTTTGTTAGATAGCGCCCAGTGTTCAAGTCTGTCCAGGTCCTCCTGTTTCTTAAGCCTGTCTTCTGGAGTGTTGGCTATTCCTGCCAGCTTGGTGTCATCCGCAAATTTGATGAGTTCCCCATCTATCCCCTCATCCGAATAATTGATGAAGATGTTGAAGAGCACTGGGCCTAGAACAGAGCCCTGGGGCACCCCACTACACACTTCCCTCCATGTAGATGCAGTTCCATTGAGGACCACACGCTGAGTACGGCCGGTCACCCAGCATCCCCATCTGGTGGTGATGCTGTCTAACCCACATTTTTCTATATTATTGAGTAGTAGGTTGTGATCTACTTTATCAAATGCCTTACTGAAATCCAAGTAAATTATACCCACAGCATTCCTCTGATCCACTAATTTTGTCACTTGGTCAAAGAATGCAATAAGATTTGTCTGACATGATCTGTTTTTGACAAACCCATGTTGGCTTTTAGTAATGACTTTGTTTGCCTCTAGATGTTCGCTGATTCATTGTTTGAGTATCTTTTCCAGAATCTTCCCAGGTATAGAGGTCAAGCTGATAGATCTGTAATTTCCTGGATCCATTTTTTTCCCTTTTTTGAAGATGGGAACTACATCAGCTCTTTTCCAGTCCTGTGATAGTTCCCCAGTGCTCCAAGATCTTTGAAAAATATAGTTCGGTGGTTCTGAGATCACATCTGCCAGTTCCTTGAGAATCTTGGAGTGTAATCCATCTGGTCCTGGTGATTTGAACTCGTCTAGGCGAGTATAAGATAAATATAAAACAATACATACACTTTATTTATGAAGTTGGGACTCCAAAGCTGATAATTTTTAATCCACAAAAAATAAAAAGAGTTGTAATAGTTAATAAATGCATTATTACTTTTTTTTCATTTACACTTTACCTTGCTTTTATCGGCTTTAATAAATCGTTTAACTCTTTTGTATGTTCTGTGAAAAGAATGGAAGAATCTTTACCATTCAACATTATTTGATTTTCTTTTAATCAACATTGTAGAAAGAGAACTATATTAGTCTATGGTAGCCCAAATAAGGAGACTTCTGATTTTAACCATAATTTTATTTTTGTTCCTCTGGTTGGTAGACTGAAATCCATTTATGAAAAATCAGTTTCACTGGAAATTTCTTTAATAAATGATAATGACAAGTAGATACCTGATATAGTGAGAAATATGTTTGCCATCCAAGAATGGAATCATGCTTGATATCCTAATAGCACTAGGAATGTTTGATAGCATGACATTACTACGTAATTGCCCAGCCTTTTATATTGCATCTACTTAGGGAGGATACTTACTGCTGGATATCTCCTGTTGAAAGGGCACTGGCCAGCCATTTGAGATCCAGGGGTTTGAAAGGGACTAGTACAAGATGTACATTAGAGTGGAGATTCACAGCACTCTCTGGATACATGAAATGGTGTGTGGTTCGTGTACCAACATCTTCCTCAAAACCTGTAACCTGTGCAGTGTTCATTCTTGGAGAATATTAAAAAAAAAAAAAGCCCTAATGAGAATCTTCTTATTCAAGATATCTAGGTCACACACATGGGAAAAATCATTACTTAAATTTACTAAATACAAAACCTGGATCTAAGATAAAGTTATGGATATCACCTACATGATATTCAATGTGCTTTATTAACTTGAGACTATTTATCTATTTCCTCATGTGGTTATTACTTTTTAAGAGAAATTTAAATAGGATAATACAGTATATGTTGTGTGCTAGAAGATTAGCTGCATGCAGCATGCCTTTTGTGCTCTCAAGAGAATTTAGGATTTGGGGTGGATTTTAAGGGGCAAATTTTAAACCTTGGATAATGTTAAGGCATTCATTTCATGGCTTAAAAAAATTCAGACTTGCCCCATGGTGCCTACTTTAGGTCCCTATTTTGGGAATGTGACATGCTGGGCAAAGTACATGAAGCCATCTATATAACAAAATGTATACTACCTACCCTTAGAAATGGGGATTTTCTAACCCCCAACTGGATGTAGACTGAGATCTCTAAACCTGGCCCACAAAGACCCTTTTTCTTCCTAAGACAATAGAGTCTTACAATAACCAGTTATAATATCTGATCATAGGAGCAACATATTAGATTCCTGATTACAAACTTAGGATCATTTATCAGGATAAAAATGTTTTTAAAATGGTAATGGTCATTCTTTCATTGTCAATTTGCTGATGGCCACATGCTGTCAATAGAGGAAATCATATCTTTTCTATATATACATTTTAAAAGATTTTTACTTTTCATTATTAAATTTATATGCTGCCATCTCACCTAGAGGCGACTCTAGGAGGCATACAAGCAAGTAAAAAAGCAACAAGATAAACATTAAAATATTAGAATAATAAATATTAATATTAAAATTGGCAAAATTAACAAAGATGCCAAAGAAGGGAGCAAGATTACTATTGCTATAATCTTTATTTCTAATTTGGAGGATTAGGCTGTGCAATGCTTGAGGTTTAATTCAGATTCAAAGTGCTTCAGAAAGTGAATGCAGTTTCTGTGTGACTCATTAATACAATGTCATCTTATCCTGGATCCCAACAGAGTTGTGTGATCATGGAAAATACTTTTATTGCTGCCACTGCTTTAACAAATCAGAGAGACATGCTGAGTTCATAGCCCTGCATATTCAAAACACCGCCTTTGAATCAAATCAAACATAAATATAAATATTCCAACTCCCTACCATTTTAGGGCAGTCAAACTAGTTGATGTAACAATAAAAAAAAAGAATGAAATACGAAAATATCACTCTTGGGAGAGGACTGCACCAATCTGTGATGTGTCTTTTGAATCTAAATTGAGGCCTGCAGATCTCTCATTCTTTGTGTATATGCTCTGTTCTACTTACCTCATCACAAACTTGTGAGAATCTATCTTCTCCCCATATTTAGAGCCCCTAAGCCTTCCTGAGTTTCCCACCACAGCACAGGTTCCACAGTGAACAACATCCTGAACTCTAGCAGGGAGTGGCTGAAGGAGGTCAAACAGATTTTTTACTATCATCTGAAATTGGCTGCCATCTTTTGATTTTTGTAGCATCTGATGAAATAAAATAGAGCATTAGAAGCAGGCTGGAGGGACTTTCAATAACACTTGCCCAAGAAAATGATCTACGTTAAGGATCTACCCTTTGGATACCTCTGAACTACACTGGTCAATACTGATTTCAAAAGTGGGACCTTTATCTGTAGGAGACTGACCATGAAAAATGATCACTATTTCTTTAACAAACATGGAATAAGGTACAGCTGTTTAGCCTCAATGCCCTGGAGCAATCACTGAACCAAAAACCAGCCAGTCACATTCTAGCCTAATACATTCTGTAAATATTCCCTATCTGAAAAGTATGGTTCAAGTGCATTAAGCAATTTAAAATATTGAATCAATTTATCCATATGATAGAAACAAATTCTTTATCATTTTTCATTGCAGTGCTGATCTTTCCCTACCAAATGGTTTTCTTGGTCTTATAGATTTATCCTTCTTTCTTAATCATAATTGATTAATTTGGGGTTTACTTAAAACTTATTCATAAAATGGTAACGATTAATGACACAAAAGCAGAGAAACATTAAATATATGGAAAGTAACATTTCAGTAGATATGTCTAGTTAATTTCTAGTAAATATCCATTGGAGAAAATAAAAATTAATTTTTAATATAACTCACCACACATCAAACATCAAGTGTAGTCCTAAACAGAAAAAACGTTCTATACCTTAGATACATTATAAGACATGAGAACAGAGCTGAAAGATTAAAAGAAACCAAAGGATAGCTTGAAGGTTTCCAAACTGGCTGTCTCGGATAATGTACATTATGGACAGGGAGGCTATGGCCCTCTACACTTTGTTCAACCCTAACTCCCATATTCCTGCTCATTTCCAAGTCTGCTCATTCCATGCTATGTTGATGGAATTCAGATTGTAACAACATTCAGGGAGATTATTGGCTAAATGGACAATGAATGGTTTCTCTACAGTTAGGAAACAAAAGCAGGTCTTATCTTTCTTCATCCATCTCGCCAAAAGATAATGCAATCTAGATATTTCAAAAAGAGGAAAGAAGAGAAGCCAGGTTTTTGACAAGTACAGGAAAAAAGCAAGCAAAAGGCAAATTGGGTAAAATATGTTTTACATACAGTATATGAAGTTGTGAATGTTCACTCTATTGGACTTTAGTGCGTTTGCTATGCTCAGTCTTAGTTAAAATGAACTCAAAGATAAAATGCTAAAATAAGTCTCTTATCATTTATTTTCCACTGAAAGACAAATCTGAACAAGTACTACACATGACCAACACTTTGCTTAGTGGAGAGAATAATACTCTTTCCAATTCTTTTCTCTAAATAGATATAGTTGTTTCACTTAGTAATATGATGCAGTACTCACCAGCCACCACTGAAGAACCCCTGGTGGGATATCAGAGTTTTCAAGAATCAGCAGGCGGTTTACTGAGGCATTAAAGTGGTCACAAAACCAATCCAAGCTGCTTAGGCCAATGCATCTGTTATGGTGACATATTTCCTCTTTCATGAATGAGTCTTGCACTAGCCACTCATCAAGACTTTTTGACAAAAATGAAACAGAAATATATATCTTCCAGATGGAAAGTGCAATGCATAAGGCCAGAGCAATCCACAACTTATTCTTACACATCATTGTTCACTCCATCAGTTCAGTTTGAACTGCTAGTTTAGCGTTTTTCATAGAATAAAAATCATCATGCTGGATGATATAACTGCAGCTAAATCCTTTACTCAGGTATTATTAGATTGTTTTCAAAGTAGATAAAGTCTAGAAAAACCAAAGTAGATTGTATTCATTCTGTGAGCAGATTGTTATAGTGAGGTGCCATATCTTCAGAGTGCTGAAACACACAAAATGATATGTCAATATTATCCAAAAATCTCAAAGGACAATACCATGTGTCATGATAGAATATACTTTGTTAGATATTAATGAACAGATTTAAAAATCCAATAATTCTATGTTTCAGTACCCAAAGTTGTTCAAATACAGGTTCATAGTGTGTTTTGTTCCATATATAATTTGTACCAGAATGTAATGCAATCAGCTTGTATTTTCTGTACACCTCATCCAGTATTTTTTTTAATCTATTAAAGGATATAGCCATGTTTTGCAGTGAAACAGTCAATGCTTCATAGTATCCTTTCCTTAAATTTCCTTAAATGTGATTTAAGCATACAGCACTTTATTAGGGGGTATGGCTCATAAGACAATACCTGCACTGAAACATGAATTTTGATGATGTGTAGGAATTGCATAAAAAGTACTGCTTCAAGCCAGTTATACATTTCCTGAAAATATTGCAAATATGTAATATTCAAACAGATATCCAAAATTTTGTAATATTACCAGAGAACTAGAAAGACAAAAGAGATTGCAAAATCCTGTATTTACATTGCTGAGTGGTAAATAATAATAATAATAATAATAATAATAATAATAATAATAATAATAATAATAATAATAATAATAAGCAGAAAGGAAACCGCCCCAATAGCAGAGGAACAAAAGATCAACTCCTAATAGACAAAATGATCTTGGAAAACTGCAAGAGAAGGAAGACCAACCTGAATGTGGCATGGATTGACTACAAAAAGGCATTTGACTCTCTGCCACATGATTGGATAATAAAGTGCCTAGAAATAACAGGAGTCAGTAGAAACATCAGAAAATTTGTGCAAAGATCGATGGCACAATGGAAGACACAGTTGCAGATCAATGGTGAGAGGCTGGGAGAGGTTAATATCAAGAGAGGAATATTTCAAGGAGATTCATTATCACCATTACTATTTGTTATTGCACTGTTTCCTCTGTCAACAATACTGAATAACTCAGGACATGGCTATCAAACATCCAAAACATCTGCCAGACTATCCCACCTCCTTTATATGGATGATCTGAAGCTGTATGGAAAAACATCATCTGAAATAGAATCGCTGCTCAACACTGTCCGTATATATAGCCAAGATATTGTAATGGAGTTTGGCTTGGACAAATGTGCCACACTTACTATCAAACAAGGAAAAATAATGAAAACTGAAGGAATCAAGATGCCCCACGAAAATAACATTAAGAGTCTGGATGAGGAAGAGTACTACAAATACTTGGGTATCCTTCAAGCTGACAACATCAAGCACACTGAAGTCAAGAAAAAGATTAGAGGTGAATACATCAAGAGAGTGAAGAAGATCTTAAAGTCCAAACTCAATGGAGGAAATACCATAAAGGCAATCAACACCTGGGCAATCCCAGTCATTAGGTACACAGCTGGAATAGTGGACTGGACTCAAGCAGAACTAAAAGCAATGGATAGGCAGACCAGAAAAATAATGACAATGAATCATGCCCTTCATCCACGCAGTGACATTGATAGACTTTA